CTGCCTGTGGCTTTGCCCCGGAGACTGGATCTGACCCGCGCGGGGGTGCGCGCGAGCCGGCGGGCTGGGAGGGCCCCGCGCCCCGCGCCCCGCGCTTTGGTGGGAGAGGGGCCTGAGCGCCGGGAGAGGCCGGGCTGGGGGCCTGGAGTGGGGGTTCTGGAAGGGGGGATCAGGCGGGAGGGGCGGGATCCCGGATTCTCCAAGGAGGGGGTGGGGGGGTCTGGAATTGTGGGTTCTCAAAGAAAAGGAGAACGAGCCGCCTGGGATGGCAGCCGGGGTGTGGAGGTAGGTGGGCCACTCCGTCCTCAGAGGAGGAAATTCCCGAAGGGTCCGGACTCCTGTGTGGTCAAAGAAACCTTGCCCATTGGGGACCACGGGAGTGGACTCCTGAGTTTCCGGAGCGAGACGGGGGCCACCCCCGCCCCCCCACCCCGTGCTGGGATCTGACCATCGGCCCCTCCCCCAGACCATGTCGCCTGAAGAATGGACCTATCTGGTGGTTCTTCTTATCTCCATCCCCATCGGCTTCCTCTTTAAGAAAGCTGGTGAGTCAGGTTCCCTCTCCAGTGGAAAATAAGGGGGGGAAGGACCCAGGCGGGGGCCCTTTGGAAGGTTCTGGGCTTATGCTGTCCTTTCTCCCTGCAGGACCTGGCTTGAAGAGATGGGGGGCAGCAGCTGTGGGCCTGGGGCTCACCTTGTTCACCTGTGGCCCCCACACCTTGCATTCTCTGATCACCATACTGGGGACCTGGGCACTCATTCAGGCCCAGCCCTGGTGAGACTTGGGGGTGGGAGAGGAGACGGGAGGGGCAGGAGGAAGCAAGAAGCAACCTGTTTGCCCTTTGGGTCTTTCTTCATTTCAGGCTCATTCTCTGGTGTCTTGCTGATCTCTGCAGTCGCTAGGCCATGTGTCTTCAGTGTTTCTTCTCCCGCCCTTGTCTGGCCTCGCCCCTGCGTCTGTCCCCTTCCTTCCCTCCGTGTGGTGGGTGGGGAGAAGCCACCCTCGCTGTCAATCCTTCCATTCCCGAGCCTTCTCCCCCCTCTGCTCCCTCTGGCTCTCCCTCTCCTTGTGGCCTGCTCTTTCTCTCCTCCCCCCTCCTCCTCTTCTCCTCCCCTCCCCTCCCCCCTTCTTCCGGAAAATGGAGAGCTGAAGAAGGTTCTTCACCCCAAGCCTCCCTCAACCCTTCTTCATGCTCTTCTCACGCCTCTAAGTGGCTGCACCCCTTCTGTTCTGTTTGAGCCTTGCTCACAGCCCCACCCCCTCATTTCTGGTCCCTGGAGGTGGGGAGAATCTGTAGCTAGAATCTGGGGGAGGACAAGGCCAGGTCCTGTGTCCAGCCCAGCAGCCTCCTGCCTTTGCCCAGCTCCTGCCACGCCCTGGCCCTGGCCTGGACCTTCTCCTACCTCCTGTTCTTCCGCGCACTCAGTCTGCTGGGCCTGCCCACTCCCACGCCCTTCACCAATGCCGTCCAGCTGCTGCTGACACTGAAGGTCAGACTCCATCATGCCCTGCTCCTCACCTTCACCCCCTCCGGAAGCCACTGTGGGGAGGAGACATGGGGGGTGGAGTTTTGTATCCCAAACCCTGGGGGGCAGGTGGGACTTTGCCCGTCAGCTCTTCCCTGGGGTAAAGATGTATCCCCAAGTAATGGAACAGCAGGAAGCAGAAGTAAGTGTCCACCTCCGTTCCTTGCATCTTTGTAGCAAGCCGTCTTGCAAAGACCCACCCTAGGAGGACCGGCTTGCAGGCCGGAACACCCAGTCTGGCTGAAACCCCCTGGAAGATGGGTGGACAGCCCCAGGCCACGGGCCAGCCTGAAAAGTCACGGTCCCTACTCAGAGCCGTGAAACGGGTCGTTCAGTGGTGTCTGGGTTCCCGGCCTCGGGGGTTCAAGGCAGCGCTTGGCAGGCTCGGGGAGACTTGGAGAAGGCGCCTTTTGGGTGCAGGGAGCAGCACGTGTACAGGGGAGCTGGCTGAGCTGCCTTACACACACCCAGCCCTGCGGCTTTTCCTCAGGGGAAGGAAGGCCAAAGTGAGGCGTCTGGGCACCTTCCGGTGGCCCAGGAGCCCCTGGAAGGGGTTGGTGTCACCTTTTTATCACAAAAGATCAGGTAGCCAGATACGTAAAAACACTTCCTCCAGAGGCTGGGCGTTCTCGCAGGCTGGGGCGAGAAGGGCCCTCAGCCCGGCCCAGCACCGTCAGGCAGCCTGGCGCTTCCCGCACGTGGTTCAGTCTGGCACGTGCCTCACGGCGGGGGCTGGCGTGGAGGGGCCGGGAGGGGTGTGCTGGAAGCCTGGGCCCAAGGGGGCGAGAGGAGAGCCGGGTGGGAACCGGGAGGGCGCTTCACTCGCCTTCTGGAGCCCTCAAGGCTCTGCCAGCCCAGGCTGCCCCTACGAGGGGTCCGAACGCCGCCCGCGTTCTGCCTTCCTCCATCCGCCTGGGCTCCCTCCGGCAAAGCGGAAGAGGCTGAAGGTGGGAGCCCGTGCGCGCCCCCCGGGGGTGGGGGGCAGCCAGGCGTGCTCAGTCCACACCGGAGGCACTGACGGACTGCAGGCCAGGAGACCCAGAGGGGCTTCTGGCGCGAGCGGTTAGCCGGAGGCTGTGACGTTCACGGGGCCTGGAGAGGGGCTCGGTGTGCACCCAGAAGAGCGGGCGGAACCACACTCCGCACTGCAGGTGGGAAGTGTGAGAGGTGCCCAGTGGGCATCAGTATTGGTGACAGAGGCAAGTTGATGAGTAAGTTTGAGGCCGGGGAGGAGGTGCAGAGGGACGCAGCTAGGCGTGTGTAATTGTGGTAGAGGCCGAGGGGGTAGCGGAAGCCCCCGCTACAGGGAACCCCGAGGCCAGGGTCTGCAGGTGAGTCAGGAGCCGCTCTGGCTGTGCCTAGCTGCCTCCCGGCAGACTCAGCCCCATCATGCGGCCGGCGCTGGGTGTGGGGAAGGACCCAGGCCTGACCCGCCCCCACCACGCGCCTCCCCGCAGCTGGTGAGCCTGGCCAGTGAAGTCCAGGACCTGCATCTGGCCCAGCGGAAGGAGCTGGCCACCGGCTTCAGCAAGGGGCCCGGCCTGGGGCTGCTGCCGGACGTGCCCTCTCTGATGGAGACGCTCAGCTACAGCTACTGCTACGTGGGAATCATGACCGGTGAGCGGCCCCTCCCACGCCGGCTGCCTGCTGCACCCCCCTCCTGCCGTCTGTCCGTGTGCTCCCAGCCTCCGCCCCCAGGGCCGGCTCTGCCCGGTCCGGCTTCTCCGGGGCAGTGACAGGCCGATCTGCTGACTGATTCCTTGTAGCTGACGGGGAGCAAACGAGATTAGGCAGACAGAGCCACGTAAGCTTCGTGTTTTTACCACTCTGGCGACGAATTCCCAGTTTAGGGTCGCATTTGCTTTTTTCTGCGGGTTCTTTTTTTTGTCCTGGTCACGAAAACCACGGCTCGATCGTCACCACATAAGTAACTAGGTAGACGGTCTGAGCCATCCTCTGACTCGCTGTGTTTGAGACTAGACGTGTTCGGTCCTCAGGAACAAGCCTTAGTGTTTAAGTCTCAGTTTTGAGAAGAGCAGAGACATTTGACCACTCAGCCCTCGCTGTGACTCAGCGGTCCTGGCCCGCGCAGCAATTGCAGCTGTTGGCCACTGGGGCGCCATGCAAGACTTGGGGTCTAGGCCAGAGCTGTGGGGGTAAGATGATCCCAGAGGCAGTGGGGAGCAGCACAGGCAGACTGACTGAGCTCCACTGCTGAGGGGGCAGCGGGGAGACAGGAGAGGCCTGCTGCGCCCTGGGGTCCCTCCCTGCTCGGGGATCGAACTTGCGCCGCAGCGATTGGTGTTAGACTGGTATCGCTGAGCCTTACCCCTGTGCCACCAGGGCAGCCCCCGGAGTGCCCATTGGTTTGCTGTTACCATCCCACCGCCCGGCCAGGTTGTCTCCCCATGCCGACCACACAGGCTTTCATTTTCTTTAACCACCTTTCCAAGCGCTGCCTGATGTGTCTGTAGAGCCAGAGTGTGCCTGTCGCCCTGTGGAGGCTGGAGGCGTTGCCTCGCCCAGAATGAAACCTCCGCCCTTAGCCTCAGCCCCAACCCCCCCCACTCTGCTCTGGCCTTCAGCGGCCCCGATGCACTGTGACCTCCCGATGCCTGTCCTGTCTGTCCCCACGCCGCCGCCGCCTGCCCTGGCCAGGCCCCTCTCACTCCTCGCCCGACCCAGCCCTCAGTCCCGACGCCCCTGACGCCCCTGTCGGAGGGCCCGGAGTCTGCCCCAGCACCCCTGATTTCTGCTCTGCTTCCCGTTGCCCTTCCCGCCCAGACCACCCCGTCTCTGGTCGGCCTCCACCCGTGTCGGCACCCCAGGGCCCCCCACTCTCGGGAGTCTGCGCCCCTCTCCCAGTCTGTCTCGCCGCCTCTTCCCTCCGCTGGCCTCTAGCTTTTCGCTCCCGGCCCCCCCGGACTCCTGCGGGCGCCCTCAGTCTCTGCTGGCTCCCTGCCCTCTCCGCCTGCTCCTGCCCGCCCGCCTCACTTCCACAGCCCCGCCGCCCGCGGCCCAGACTGACCGGCCTCCCTCCCTCCCTCCCTCCGCACAGGCCCGTTCTTCCGCTACCGCACCTACCTGGACTGGCTGGAGCAGCCCTTCCCGGGGGCCGTGCCCAGCCTGCGGCCCCTGCTGCGCCGCGCCTGGCCGGCGCCGCTCTTCGGCCTGCTCTTCCTGCTGTCCTCCCACCTCTTCCCCCTGGAGGCCGTGCGCGAGGACGCCTTCTACGCCCGCCCGCTGCCCGCCCGCCTCTTCTACATGATCCCCGTCTTCTTCGCCTTCCGCATGCGCTTCTACGTGGCCTGGATTGCGGCCGAGTGCGGCTGCATTGCCGCCGGCTTCGGGGCCTACCCCGTGGCCGCCAAAGCCCGGGCCGGGGGCGGCCCCACCCTCCAATGCCCACCCCCCAGCAGGTCAGGCAGCGGGAGGGAGGCTTCCCGAGACCAGGCCGGCCCCCGCAGCCCCCTCAGCGGGGGCTGGCCCTGCCCCTAGCCGGGAGGAGAGCGGGGAGCAGGGCGGGCCCCACGAGCGGCAGGCAGGGTCGCTCCGTGCCGCCGAGCCCGCTCTCCCCGGCCTAGGGAGACAGCCCTGGTACCCAGCTTGCCCCTGTTGCTAGCTGCCACCCCCTTGGGATGGCGCATTGTTCTGGAAAAGCAACGCGGGACCTTGCGTCCAGCAGGGTTACCCCAGTCACCCGATGATTCTTGGCTGCCCCATGGGGAGCCCTTTGTTGCTAAGCAACTGGACCACCCCAGTTTGCTAGGGAAGCAGGTTTCTTAGCAACCAGGGCCCGCCCCTCCTCACCAAAGGCATGTTCTTTGTTGCTCCAGAAAGAGCATCCCCCAGCCGCCCCAGTTGCTACAAGCCCGCGTCCTCCCCATGTCCGCACGGGCTGGCGGTGGCCTTTTCTATGGCAGCGGCATCCCTGACCTTGCTGTCCTGTGTGGAGGGAGGGCAACACCATTCCTGGCGGCTGCTCCGGAAGCCCTAGGGGTCGCCTGATGCCGGCCTTGCCCCACCCCACCCTCAGCTGTTGCTGAGGAAGTCCCTCCTGAGTGGAGGGGATGGCTCCCGCTCCTAGCGGCCGGGCCTCTTCCCTGCCCGGAAGGGCGACTCCGCGTCCCCATGGGGAGTTGCGGTCACTGCCCTGCGGCTGGAGAGTGCCCAGACAAACTCCGGAGGAACTGAAGCCTTCTCCAGCGCTGATGGCGCCCGCCTGCCATCTACAGCAGGGCTTGGGGAGCAGGCACAGCCCCAGTTGAACAGACTCAAAGACCAGTAGCAGGAGAGGCCCTTGGAGCAGCTTTTCTGGATAAGCCCTAAGGCATGCCCAGGTCTCCGGCAGCCCGAGGCCGCCCCGCCCACAGGCCGCTGCCTCACTGGCGGCCGGCCGGCGCGGGGAGGGCACCCTGCAGGCCTGTCCCAGCACTGAGCTCAGCGGCCACCGAAGGGCCCTTCGCTGGCGGCTGAGCCGAGAGAAGGGTGAGGTGCTGAGGACTCGCGGCCGCAGCCGTGGCCTGACCGCTGTGGAGGCCGGGGCAGCCCTGTTTGAGAGACCCCCGCTGTTAAGCTGGGCCCCGGGCTCCCCCAGGGCCGCCCCAACCCCTGCCCGAGCCGCCGGTCAGCCCGCGGCCCCTCGACCCCTAGCAGCGGGGCTGGGCAGTCGCCACAGCGGGGGGCCTGGCTGAGCGGCATGTCTGTCCCCACCCTCGCCCCCACCCCCAGTCCGGAGAAGGCGGCCTCGCTGGAGTACGACTACGAGACCGTCCGCAACATCGACTGCTTCGGCACGGACTTCTGCGTGCGCGTGCGCGACGGCATGCGGCACTGGAACATGACGGTGCAGTGGTGGCTGGCGCAGTACGTCTACAGGAGCGCGCCCGCCGGCTCGTACGTGCTC